CTTCCTGGGGGCCGTTGAAGAGGGTGCTTAAAAACTGAGGGTCCCTTTGAGCTAGGGCACTGTTTAGCATCTTAGAGGAAATGTACACACTTGGTAAGTGGCAAGATCTGTGAGTAAATAAAAACTTGCACTCTTATTTTCTCCTCGTTTCTAGGTTATCGATGCAACATCATTAGGCTGGGGCACCAGGGTGAAAGGCTTCATTGCTTGTTTTGCAATAGGATGCCTGTGCTCGCTCTTGGTAAGGACTTTTTGCCAGCTCTCCCTGGTACTTGAGTTTCAGGAGCCCCAATAATTGCAGCCTTGCTGTATGCTGTTGCTTTATTTTTTTGAGTCTCTGGGAAGACATCTGACTTAGTTCCGGTTAAATGTAATGTACTAACTCTTAACAAGAATGCCAATAAATGCAATTTACTTTTGAGTGTGTGTGATTCTGCAGTTTGGGTTTAAGTTTTCCTAAGACTTCTTTTGTGTTGTGACATTGCTTGGATATATTTCTTTTGCAATTTAAAAACAATATTAATATTTTCCCCTCTTTCTCTAAATGTTCCTTTTTAGGGTAGTTGTCTGCTATGGGTACCAAAGAAAGGGCTGATCCTCTTTGCAGTGTTTTATACACTGGGGAATATTGCATCTATTGGGAGGTAACAGTCTTTATATATTAGTTCCCTAATAAATACAAGAAACTAAAGCACTTCAGGTAGATGTAAGTTTAGTAAAGATAGATGAAGATGCATAAGTGGTAGAAACTGTTGCATTTGTGTGAGAAGAGTTGCTTACGTAGATCATTCTCTTGTTGCTGAATTTTAAAGAACAGCATTTCCCTAGTGCATTTCCCCTGAAATGGTAAAGAAAATTTTTGTTTTGTTTATTGTTAATAGCAATGCATTCAAGGTAGAAGTTATTCGTCACTAAAGAAGAATCAAACTCATGCTTTGAGCATTGAGGCTTTTTGATTTTGTTGTTTTTTTCCCCCCTCAAGATAAAATAATTCTTTGCCATTTTGCATTTGGTATTGCATTTGCATTCTGTGTGTTTTGGCGAATGTATTTGGGGCAGTCTGTCTGTCAGGGTAGGCCAGTTTGATAAGCCTTCATGGCCGTTGAGCTTCCTGAAGCATAGCCCCGCTGACTTTGTGATAGATACAACCTCCTGTGATTGAGGAAACTTAACACGATGTTAGGAAGCGCAAGGAATGGTACTGGAAATAATATCGTAACGAGGCAGAATACTATAGTATATGAGGCAGAAATATCACCTTAGATGAAACTTTCACCTTGTATAATTCATGCAGTATCAATCACCAGGGCCCTAAATAAGGGCTGCAGATCTGGTACAGGATCAGAGGATAGATCCAGGCCTGAAAACAGCCCTTTATGTAGAGGAATTGAGCTGGATTACCTGGCAATCCATGCAGAGCCTCTGTGGCTGGTGTTTTTGAAAAGTGGCTTAAAAAAGCATCTGTCAAGAATGATCTGATTGAAGCTGACCTTGACCTGTGCTTTTGGCTTGATAGTTCTGGTCTGCTTCTGTTAATTGGAACTGAACAAGTGTGAATAAAATTATAGAATAATTACCTTGCACAAAGGGAAGCAGGAATGGATTTTGTCTCATTGTATATCATGTTTCTTTTGTTATGCAGGACTGATTACCCTAAATTGGTGTACTGTTGCCCCATATGACAGCAGACAATTTAACAAAATACTCTCCCTTAATGAGGAATCTTACCTAGTTTCCATTTTGCCTTTCTACCTCTGTGTTCATCTTCGTTTGTTTTTCACAGCACTCTTTTTCTTATGGGACCAGTGAAACAATTGAAAAGGATGTTTGAGCCTACGCGTTTGATTGCTACTATTGTTATGCTAGTAAGTATCAAAGGATTCGTTTTAACTGGTGCTAACCTGTAAACAATTTCCATTGTAAAGTCCTTTCATACGCATTGATCTAACTAGGTCTCAAGATGTGTTTGTGGGCGGGTTTTTGTTTTGTTTTGGCTTTGTTTTCTTAAAACATCAAACATCCTGCACATCTGCTATAGCAGAAAGATATGTGTAGCACCAGAAAACCACCTTTTTGTAAAGAAAGACTGAGCTGAAACCAGGTTGTTATGCTAAATGAGCATTAAGGATCTGTGGCTGGCATGTGTGAACCATGCACGTGCTTTTTGAGTGTGCTTGAGGTCACAACATCATACTTTCCTGTCCCTTAAAGGATGAAAGATGGTAAACTAGTTTTTAAAAAGTTGTACTACGGAAGTTGTTAGACACTATTTTGCATAATTTTGTCTTTTTATATTCTATCCGATTTGCTTTAAAGATCTGTGTAGTTATTTCTACCTTGATAAAATCATCATTTCCTGACAAAGCAACTGGGGAATCTCTATGTCTTGGTCACCTTGCATTAAAAATATAGAAATCATCCCAGTTGGCTGATAGCTTCAGGTTTTGAAAGTCATATGACACAATGAAATTGCCAATTCAACATTCAACTGAAATCAGCCCTTGAAGTTATTTTTATCTTCAGAAGATGGGAATTGTAGCTAACCTTCTGCTGGGGGGGGTGTGTGAAAATTGCTGCAAAGTTTCAGACTCTTTCTTGTTTAAAGTGCATGTGCTTTTTTGTCTCTTCAACTTGCCCATTTTCTATTGAAGAGTCTAAAATCTGGAAGGTGGTTTAACTTGCATGAAACTGTCCTCCCATTTTCTGTGTGAGTGTCTTCAGAGTGTTTGCTTGGCATCAGCGCTTCCTATTTTCTCTTAAAACATTGAGAGAGGCTGCAGGTGACTGAGGGAGCTTGAGAAATTGACTCTGTATGCTCACAGATCAGCAGCAGGCAAGAAGCGTACTGTGTGGTGTGTTTGTTTTGTACGCATTTAGGATGCCTGGAGTCAGGAGAATGCCTGGAATGTTGTTCACTGGAATAAAGCCAGTTGTTAGAAGTATGATGTAGTATTTAGACCAATATACAAATCACCACCTTAAAACTCATGGAAAAACTACATTTAATGTCAATAATCGTGGTTGAGGTGAAGCATGTGATTTCTTTGGCAATGCATGTGTTACTGTCTTGAATATGCAGTACTAAATCTTTTGTTTGTTTGTTTGTTTTTTCACTCAAGCAGGAAAATGCACATTCTGATCTGTAGTACCACAATGGTACATGTGTATCAAAAGGCTGCTAGATATTGATGAAGGAAGATCAAGTATCAGCATCTGTCATGGCTATATGAGCTGTCGTGTCTTAAATTGAAAATGAAAACTTGAACTAAAAGGAGGCTCCTGTTAAAACAGAAAATAATTCAAAATGGCCTACTACCCCCCAAGATTTTAACTGTAGTAAAGACACAGTGAAACTCTAAAGAAAAAGTGCCAGTTTGAATGGCTGTGCTGGACTTTATATTTAACAGGAGAGCTACTAAACAATAGCTGAAAGTTCTTGAAAGTGTATTGTAGTTTTAATTGGTAAGAATTAAGTAATGACATAACTTCAACCCCATGGTGACCTTGAGAATCAACAAGAAATGTGGCACATACAGAAGCAGAACACTATGGAGTTGTAACTGAAAAGTCTTACTTATGCAAAACGATGAAGTGTGGTGTATACCTATGACACTTAGAAGTGTGTGGGATGAAGTAGGAATCTGCTGATGTTGCAAAAGAACTGTGAGAACCTCTTCCTCTTGTTCTTTTGCAGCCATAAAATTATTTTCTGAAGATATCAGGCTGATATTTCTTCATTGCTTTAATTCACTTCAGAAATGTAATAGGTGAACTTAATTTAAAGTTCCACTTTAAATAAGGGGAACTGTTACCAGGATTGGATAAAACTATAAGTTGATGTAATCTGTTTCTGTCTTTGTGAAGGAACCCATTACACTGTTACAATATCTATTAAAAACTGGAGTTGTTTTTATGTTTAATAGAAATTGTTTGTTTTCTTCTAGTTGTGTCTCATACTAACACTGTGTTCTGCATTCTGGGTGAGTACTTGAGTCCTATATGTATATATAAACTGGAGTGTATTTTAAAAATAAGATGCTTACATTGTTGTTTCACTGTGTGTGCTGTGTTCCCCGCGACCCTTTCTCTCTTCTTCCAGTGGCGTAAGGAAGGACTCGCGCTCCTTTTCTGCATCTTACAGTTTTTTGCCTTGGCATGGTAAGTGATTTCGTCCCCACGCGCTCCCATTTCTATTGCACCTAACATCAGTAGCTGAATTGTGAATAATTTTGACCTTACATGAGTTAGAGAGAAGGAGAATTTTTATCTCACCAGTCCCCTAGATGCAAGACAATGCATCAATGAGGAGCTGACTTGTTCCTGCTTCTTGGTCTCATACCGCTTCAGAGGCTTTGGAGATGGAGCTCAGGGCTCCATTTCTGGGGGAAGTTCCTTTGAACTTGTTTAATTTCTGTAAGTTTGAAGTAAAACTGCTGGTTTTCTTCCACTTTTAAATCAATTTGCTGCTTACTGTATGGTATTCCTCTTTACGCTCTCCTGAATTTGTCTTGTTAAAAGACACAGATATGCCAATCAAATTTAGTGTCAGCATTCTTTAATTTAACATATGCTCTGTGTAATGTCACAGTAGTAGTACAGAAACTGGTATGATCATCTAGCCAGCCCTCAACACTAATCTTACCTGCCTGTAGGCATTGGAGCATGAAGAATCTTGAGTGCAGGAGAACTATGTTTAAAAGGCTTCTACAATATGCCCTCTGATTTTTGCCATGGTGTTTCACAACCTGGCTGGGCTAAGATGACTTGCAAGGATACTCATTGCTGTTGGTTACAAACTCAAAGCTTTATTTCGGTTGCATATCTTGCAGTTACCTGTTTAGAGCATCAGAGGGGTCGTTCTTCTTGTTTGTGTCTCTAATAAAATCTGACATGAAAAGTAACTTTAAAAATCTTTCTTCTTAGGTACAGCATTTCCTTCATACCATTTGCAAGGTAAGCTTCCCTACTCCCTTACTTTTTGTAATCTTGAGGTTTAATGATACAGAAGATTAGTTTATAGAAGCATTGTAATGTATGGCTTAGAAGTTTTTCCATGGTGGTGTTTTAGAGGGAGGAAATACACGTAGTTAAACCTTAAAATGAGACTAAGCATCTTCTCTAGTGGGAGAAAACAAATGTAACAAAATGAGAGGGCTTCCTATAAAAATATCTAAGTGTGCTGACCACGTGCTAAACTTAAGCCTTGCCTTTGGAACACCTAAACGTTGGTCCAAGATGGTACTAGACAAGTGTATTCTTCTGTGTACCTTTTTTCCTGCTCTCCCCCGCGAGCACTATTCTGTTCTCTATCCCACTCCACCAGCCCCACCCTTTGTCAGTGCACCGCCTGATATGGGCTTACGGGTGTCACATCCACTGCAGTTGGGCAGGTGGATGGTGAGCGGACCCGCTTGCCTCTCATGCATTCATGTAGTCATGCAGATTATGTAAGGGCAATTAATACATGGTCAGCTGATCTCTAAAGTCCTCACTGTCAGTGTGACAGCAGCATGGAGTGAGTCTCATCAAGCTGCATAACTGAGGTGACTCTTTTGTTTTTTTTCTTTCTCCTGCCTGTAGGGATGCTGTGAAGAAATGTGTTTCAGTCTGCCTGTCCTAACAGGAATACCGGATGCATCGCAAAGCTCTAGGAAGTATAGTAGAACTATGTTAAGATCACTGTATATGTATTTTCCTACTTCTGTCTTAAACATGTGCCTTTCAGCTTGTTGTTAGAAGCTCCTTGTGTTAAATCCAATGTACACAATTGCCTGGTTTTGTAAGCAATGGTGTTTGTAGGACAGGGTGCTCGTGATCAAATGAAGTTCAGTCTGGCAGAAGAACTGGGCAGAGATTCAGAATTTGTTATGATAATTCTTATGTGAAATCATGTATGTATTTGGTTTTGCAAAAGTAACATAGTAACACATGAAGTCTGTAAAATGGAGACCTCGGCTCTGATGGGACTATGCCAGTCTAGAAGATTTCTTTTTCAAGAAAATCAGTTGCCAACTGATATCTTACTGACAACTTGTTTTTTGTTGTTGTTGTGTTGGGGTGTTTTTTTTTGTTGTTTTGTTTTTAAATAGCCTTATGTCACTTAATCTTTGCACTGTTTGCCTTGGATAATGGAATATTGGTATTCTTTCTTTTCCTGCCTCTTGCAAAATTTTAGGTTTATGAGACTTCTGAAAGATTTAATTCTAAATGAAAAGACTGGTTTGGAGTAAGTATGAAATGTTTACATCTTTAATGAAGTACTTAATTTTCAGTTTAGACTGATGGTGTTTCCTTAAAGTACATGAAAGAGATGCTTTCATCTGTAAAAATTTGTTCCTGTAGGAAAAACACTTGCAAAATAAGGTTAATAGAATTTTTTTCAGCTGCCAGGAACCTGAGTTCTTTGCCTTGCCTACAGCTGATGGCAATACCTACAAGGTAGGAAACTGAAGTTTTTCACAGGAAGCAAGGTGCTTCTCTTCTCCCCCAGCTGTAGCATAGGAGCAATGTGAAGCTGAGGGCATGATAGGTAAGCAAAGAGAGAATTCATGTATGTCTTTTCTCAAAGGACAAACTCTGTTGATAAGGTGGAAGTGGGCTATTGTTTAAGCAGTCTAGGCCGGGGAGAAGACATTTTCTTCTGAACTTGTAAATAAGTTAAAACTCCAACACCTCTTTTTTTTTTTTTTTTCTGGTAAATGAGATCAGTTTTGTTTGTTCTAAAGCTCTTGCACACACTAGTGAACAATTTCTGCTTTGAGGAGAAAGTACAATTTTCTATTGCCTGTCCTAACAAACAAAGCATGTAACAATCTAGCCACCTGCTCCAAACAAATGCTGAACAGTCAGTATCCAAACTCCAAGGCCACTCTTTCATGTTGCCTTTTGGTGGTGTATTCTGTTCCTGTGAAGGTCAGACAGTAGGAGAGACTCACCATATTCTTGCCAATATGTGAAACATACTCAGGGTTTGTCACTTCTGCATCTACAAGCAGGTTTGATTTAAAATAACTCTTCTCTATTAGAACAAAACTTACAAAATTCTTACTCACAAGTAGTTGTGTTCAGGCTATTGCCAAGTTTAGCAGCAAAAGATTTTTCCACTTTGTTAAAATACTTCATTTTATAAGATTTTACATAATCAGGGAGTAAACTAGTACATGAATGTTTCCTCTTGACCAGTTTGAGTCTGAATTAGATTATACCATTTTTTTGGTCATTAAAACTACTTTGTGTTAAGTTGATATCATCAGTTTTGGTTATCTGCTTGGCAGGAAGCACAGTGGGCATTTCTGAAGCCCTCTCTAGCTTTCTGTCTTAATGTCCTTCAAGGCAGCAATGTTTGTTGTGTGCACTGTAGTGCAAATAGAGATGTTTGTGTGTTAAATCGCAAAGCTCCTTCCTTCACAAAGTCCTTGCTCACTTGCCTACAGCACTTAACTCAAGGCTGACTTTCCAAAAGAAATTTGTATGATGTTGGATGTCCATCTCAGTAGGATTTGGTGTTCTACCAGAAAGTGCTTTTTGCCCAGCCTTGCTGTTGGTCAACTTGCCTATCCACTTTACTTTCTGCATTACAGATAACATAACCTTCACCAAGAAGCTTTAACATACAGTTCCAGCATGAAATGCTGGGATCGGCTGACTTTCCAGATATAGTAGAAATGGAAATGGCGAGGGTGGTAGTCATCTGTTCCCAAAGTACTGAGATTCTATACGTTAAATCAGGCGGGGGAGTGGTTTCATTACTTCAAAGTTTTGCTCTGTTTTATGTGATGAAGTCCGCTGTGAATTCTGGTACTGTCTGAGATGGTTCTGGAGTGATGAAGTGAACAATTTCATCTTGTTTAGTATTTACAGTAATAAGATTATTCATGAGCTGTTACAAAAACTGAGGAAGAAATTTCTGCACCAAATTGAAATTCTTTAAGAAGTCATGTTTTAAAATAGAGAGTGTGTTAGGCTTTGTGTGTGAATACTTAGTCTGCAAGTTTGGGGTAGGGCGGAGACTCTGTTATGGGATGGCTTCCAGCTAGGTGCAGGATGACAGGCTTGAGTCGATCATAGCTTGTGGGTAGGTTGCAGCTGGCATGCAATGCATTTGCAGGCTTATGGCACTGCTGCTTATGTGCAGTCCAAAGTTGGGGTGCTGGGAACTGCCTTGTGGAGCAGTGTGGGCGCTTGAAGCGCATCCCCTTTTGCTGTGTGCTAAGAGACTGCAACAGCCTCTGTTGAGTTTCTGAGAACGGTTCTTGCTTAGTTTTGGTACTTAATCGTGTTAATGAAAGTAAGATTGTTGTTGCTATCATAGACTCTCAAAACTGAGGAGGAGGATGATTTTTAAACACACATTTGTCTTAAATACTGATGTTTACAACCATAGCAAATACTGACCACGTAGGACAAAAAGCATAGAAATAGTATATTTTCTTACAACCACGTGCCTCACTGAAATGTGACAACACTAAATTTTTTTAATAGCTGTGGAATTGTTTTCTAAAATAAAAACCAAACTCTCAAATTCTCCACAGTGTTTTATACTGTTACTGATTCTGTTTGCTGTTGTGCTTTTCTATGTATTTACACTGTTTGATTTCTACTTTGATAAACATCTTTTTTCCTAACTTAGAACTTTCTCTGTAATGAAGTGAATCTTTACTTACAAGTGCTGGGGTTTTTTCCTTCAATAAAGTTGTCATTGCATTAAATGAATTGCTCTTATGGTTAATATGGAGTTTTTAATGATGCTGATTCTCCAGATGATGCTGGAGTTGCTGTGGGTTGGGTTTTTTTGTTTGTTTGTTTTATACCAAAAAGAATAAAAAAGCAATTGTCTTGTCCTGACTTCCTTTGCTGTGTACACAACACGTACTGCTGAGGGAAGTCTCTGTGTCACCACTGCTGGGCAGCTGCTTCACCCAGCATGTCTAGCTCAACCAAATTCTTATTGACATAGTTGCATGCACCTAGACAACTGCTTGGCACAACTAGAGTTGTTAAGGTGGGGATGATATTTTTTATTACTTCTTACTTAACGTATTTGCCTCGAGTCAACCTAGATGTACCAACAAACTATTGGCTTAGTCCATGCTACAAAGCAGATAATTCCTGATGCTATTCTGTCAGCCAACACTAGAGTTTTATGAAGCAACATGCCTCTGGCTCTTCTTTGTGGAATATATACACTCTGAATACTGATGTACACTGGAAGTAAAAAGGCAATGACTTATGACTTGTGTGCTGTGGGAGACTGTGTTAAGTTTTCAGTTACTCTTTTTTTAATTGTTCTTCTAAGCAAGCTCTGTCTCAAAGCTGACTAAACTGAAATTTTTGTCCTACAGGAAACTCCAAAGTTTTGTTTGAAATAGAAGCAGCAGCCTGTCTTCCTGCAGTATTGAAACCTGGGGGGTTGTACTTTATTTCTCTGAAAAGCTCCCAAGGACTGTCAGGAGAGCTTAATATATCTATTTCATATCAAGACAGCTATGAATCTGAGTCCTAAAAGGGCAATAAATCCTTTCCATGTTTAATAGCTTAGAGCTATTTTCCTTGCCTGGTTCAACCACCTGCATAACAACAAAGCTGTTGGTCTTTGCCATGTTGTTCTCAAGTTAAGGTCTTAATACTTGAATGATTCAAAAAAATAAATAAAATTTAAGTCTTCATTTGAAACCTCTAAGCAATGAATGATCAGCTGCCCTCTAGGGAAAGTGTATTCTGCAGATGACTTTGCTCCTTAGCAATACTCTGAATGGGTTTATCAGTTGTGGTACAGCATCTAGTTCCTGAATCCCTTTTATAAATATTGGGGCAGAGTTATTACTACCACATTCAAATTCAGTGACAACTCTTGGAAGGCTGCCGTACTCAGGATATCTGCCCCTTTCCCTTCTTCTTCCACAAGGTCTGATTTGCAAGAGAAGGTATTTCATGGATGCAAGAAGTTAAAAGTTGGGAGTTGATATTTATTTCCTTCCCTTACATGTGCCTTTCCCATTGAGTTCAGTCTTGGTTGCGATATCAGTGGGGCTACAGGCTTGTAATTACCCAGCCTGAAGAGCTAGAGATGCATAAAGGGAACAAAATCCTCTGTTTTCTCACTTTACTGAAGAAAACTTCTGGTGAATTAGAGATGGAATAGTATGTCTAATCTGCCAGTCTTTGGGATTGATATTTTAAGTTAGCCTATTTGAAACCCTTTTAAGTTTTTCTTGGGTTCCCTTGTGGCAACTCTTAAGAGAGGTTATTCCTGAGAGTTTGTACTTTAAAATGTGCAGAAGCGAGTGTGGAGTAACACTGGCGTAGCGGAAAAATTCTACATTGAAAGTATCAGCTGGTCATCATGATTTCATCACAGCTTTGAAGGACTGTCACTTCCAAATATGTGGAGTGAAACCAAATTATTTTATCATGGGCATATGTTTTCTAGTTGTGTGTAACAGCATGTGCCAGGTTCACCACTTTTGAGAGAATCAAATCCTTCAACCAAGTTATACTTGCAACTTGTTAACTCTTATAGTTAACAAAAAGCTTTTAACTGAAGCATCTAAGTCAAAAGTGCATATTTGACTTCCCTAATATAAACACTGAATCTATTACTTTTGTTCTGAGATGTTGTAA